TGCTTCACTATGCTCCACTGTGCTCCACTATGCTCCACTATGCTCCACTATGCTCCACTGTGCTCCACTGTGCTCCACTATGCTCCACTATGCTCCACTATGCTCCACTATGCTCCACTATGCTCCACGATGCTCCACTATGCTCCACTATGCTCCACTATGCTCCCGATTACTTGCTCCACTATGCTCCACTATGCTCCACTGTGCTCCACTGTGCTCCACTATGCTCCACTATGCTCCACTATGCTCCACTATGCTCCACTATGCTCCACTATGCTCCCGAATACTTGCTCCATTATGCTCCACTATGCTCCCGAATACTTGCTCCACTATGCTCCACTATGCTCCACTATGCTCCACTATGCTCCACTATGCTCCACTATGCTCCACTATGCTCCACTGTGCTCCACTATGCTCCACCATGCTCCACCATGCTCCACTATGCTCCACTATGCTCCACTATGCTCCCGAATACTTGCTCCATTATGCTCCACTATGCTCCCGAATACTTGCTCCACTATGCTCCACTATGCTCCACTATGCTCCACTATGCTCCACTATGCTCCACTATGCTCCACTATGCTCCACTATGCTCCACTATGCTCCACTATGCTCCACTATGCTCCACTATGCTCCCGATTACTTGCTCCACTATGCTCCACTATGCTCCACTGTGCTCCACTATGCTCCACCATGCTCCACCATGCTCCACTATGCTCCACTATGCTCCACTATGCTCCCGAATACTTGCTCCATTATGCTCCACTATGCTCCCGAATACTTGCTCCACTATGCTCCACTATGCTCCACTATGCTCCACTATGCTCCACTATGCTCCACTATGCTCCACTATGCTCCACTATGCTCCACTATGCTCCACTATGCTCCACTATGCTCCCGATTACTTGCTCCACTATGCTCCACTATGCTCCACTATGCTCCACTATGCTCCACTATGCTCCACTATGCTCCACTATGCTCCACCATGCTCCACCATGCTCCACCATGCTCCACTATGCTCCACTATGCTCCACTATGCTCCCGAATACTTGCTCCATTATGCTCCACTATGCTCCCGAATACTTGCTCCACTATGCTCCACTATGCTCCACTATGCTCCACTATGCTCCACTATGCTCCACTATGCTCCACTATGCTCCACTATGCTCCCGATTACTTGCTCCACTATGCTCCACTATGCTCCACTATGCTCCACTATGCTCCACTATGCTCCACTATGCTCCACTATGCTCCACTATGCTCCACTATGCTCCACTGTGCTCCACTGTGCTCCACTATGCTCCACTATGCTTCACTATGCTCCACTATGCTCCACTATGCTCCACTATGCTCCACTATGCTCCACTATGCTCCACTATGCTCCACTATGCTTCACTATGCTCCACTGTGCTCCACTATGCTCCACTATGCTCCACTATGCTCCACTGTGCTCCACTGTGCTCCACTATGCTCCACTATGCTCCACTATGCTCCACTATGCTCCACTATGCTCCACTATGCTCCACTATGCTCCACTATGCTCCACTATGCTCCCGATTATTTGCTCCACTATGATCCACTATGCTCCACTGTGCTCCACTGTGCTCCACTATGCTCCACTATGCTCCACTATGCTCCACTATGCTCCACTATGCTCCACTATGCTCCCGAATACTTGCTCCATTATGCTCCACTATGCTCCCGAATACTTGCTCCACTATGCTCCACTATGCTCCACTATGCTCCACTATGCTCCACTATGCTCCACTATGCTCCACTATGCTCCACTATGCTCCACTATGCTCCACTATGCTCCACTATGCTCCACTATGCTCCACTATGCTCCCGATTACTTGCTCCACTATGCTCCACTATGCTCCACTATGCTCCACTATGCTCCACTATGCTCCACTATGCTCCACTATGCTCCACTGTGCTCCACTGTGCTCCACTATGCTCCACTATGCTTCACTATGCTCCACTATGCTCCACTATGCTCCACTATGCTCCACTATGCTCCACTATGCTCCACTATGCTCCACTATGCTTCACTATGCTCCACTGTGCTCCACTATGCTCCACTATGCTCCACTATGCTCCACTGTGCTCCACTGTGCTCCACTATGCTCCACTATGCTCCACTATGCTCCACTATGCTCCACTATGCTCCACTATGCTCCACTATGCTCCACTATGCTCCACTATGCTCCACTATGCTCCACTATGCTCCCGATTACTTGCTCCACTATGCTCCACTATGCTCCACTGTGCTCCACTGTGCTCCACTATGCTCCACTATGCTCCACTATGCTCCACTATGCTCCACTATGCTCCACTATGCTCCACTATGCTCCACTATGCTCCCGATTACTTGCTCCACTATGCTCCCCTATGCTCCACTATGCTCCACTGTGCTCCACTATGCTCCACTATGCTCCACTATGCTCCACTATGCTCCCGATTACTTGCTCCACTATGCTCCACTATGCTCCACTATGCTCCACTATGCTCCACTATGCTCCACTATGCTCCACTATGCTCCCGATTACTTGCTCCACTATGCTCCACTATGCTCCACTATGCTCCACTATGCTCCACTATGCTCCACTATGCTCCACTATGCTCCACTATGCTCCCGAATACTTGCTCCACTATGCTCCACTATGCTCCACTATGCTTCACTATGCTCCACTATGCTCCACTATGCTCCACTATGCTCCACTATGCTCCACTATGCTTCACTATGCTCCACTATGCTCCACTATGCTCCACTATGCTCCACTATGCTCCACTGTGCTCCACTGTGCTCCACTATGCTCCACTATGCTCCACTATGCTCCACTATGCTCCACTATGCTCCACTATGCTCCACTATGCTCCCGATTACTTGCTCCACTATGCTCCACTATGCTCCACTGTGCTCCACTGTGCTCCACTATGCTCCACTATGCTCCACTATGCTCCACTATGCTCCACTATGCTCCACTATGCTCCACTATGCTCCACTATGCTCCACTATGCTCCCGATTACTTGCTCCACTATGCTCCACTATGCTCCACTATGCTCCACTGTGCTCCACTATGCTCCACTATGCTCCACTATGCTCCCGATTACTTGCTCCACTATGCTCCACTATGCTCCACTATGCTCCACTATGCTCCACTATGCTCCACTATGCTCCACTATGCTCCACTATGCTCCCGATTACTTGCTCCACTATGCTCCACTATGCTCCACTATGCTCCACTATGCTCCACTATGCTCCACTATGCTCCCGAATACTTGCTCCACTATGCTCCACTATGCTCCACTATGCTCCACTATGCTCCACTATGCTCCACTATGCTCCACTATGCTCCACTATGCTCCACTATGCTCCACTATGCTCCACTATGCTCCACTATGCTCCACTATGCTCCACTATGCTCCACTATGCTCCCGATTACTTGCTCCACTATGCTCCACTATGCTCCACTATGCTCCACTATGCTCCACTATGCTCCACTATGCTCCCGATTACTTGCTCCACTATGCTCCACTATGCTCCACTATGCTCCACTATGCTCCACTATGCTCCACTATGCTCCACTATGCTCCCGAATACTTGCTCCACTATGCTCCACTATGCTCCACTATGCTCCACTATGCTCCACTATGCTCCACTATGCTCCACTATGCTCCACTATGCTCCACTATGCTCCCGAATACTTGCTCCACTATGCTCCACTATGCTCCACTATGCTCCACTATGCTCCACTATGCTCCACTATGCTCCCGAATACTTGCTCCACTATGCTCCACTATGCTCCACTATGCTCCACTATGCTCCACTATGCTCCCGAATACTTGCTCCACTATGCTCCACTATGCTCCACTATGCTCCACTATGCTCCACTATGCTCCACTATGCTTCACTATGCTCCACTATGCTCCACTATGCTCCACTATGCTTCACTATGCTCCACTATGCTCCACTATGCTCCACTATGCTCCACTATGCTCCACTATGCTCCACTATGCTTCACTATGCTCCACTATGCTCCACTATGCTCCACTGTGCTCCACTGTGCTCCACTGTGCTCCACTGTGCTCCACTATGCTCCACTATGCTTCACTATGCTCCACTATGCTCCACTATGCTCCACTATGCTCCACTATGCTCCACTATGCTCCACTATGCTCCACTATGCTTCACTATGCTCCACTGTGCTCCACTATGCTCCACTATGCTCCACTATGCTCCACTATGCTCCCGATTACTTGCTCCACTATGCTCCACTATGCTCCACTATGCTCCACTATGCTCCCGATTACTTGCTCCACTATGCTCCACTATGCTCCACTATGCTCCACTATGCTCCACTATGCTCCACTATGCTCCACTGTGCTCCACTGTGCTCCACTATGCTCCACTATGCTTCACTATGCTCCACTATGCTCCACTATGCTCCACTATGCTCCACTGTGCTCCACTGTGCTCCACTATGCTCCACTATGCTCCACTATGCTCCACTATGCTCCACTATGCTCCACTATGCTCCACTATGCTCCACTATGCTCCCGATTACTTGCTCCACTATGCTCCACTATGCTCCACTATGCTCCACTATGCTCCACTATGCTCCCGAATACTTGCTCCACTATGCTCCACTATGCTCCACTATGCTCCACTATGCTCCACTATGCTCCACTATGCTCCACTATGCTCCACTATGCTCCACTATGCTCCACTATGCTCCCGATTACTTGCTCCACTATGCTCCACTATGCTCCACTATGCTCCACTATGCTCCACTATGCTCCACTATGCTCCCGATTACTTGCTCCACTATGCTCCACTATGCTCCACTATGCTCCACTATGCTCCACTATGCTCCACTATGCTCCACTATGCTCCCGAATACTTGCTCCACTATGCTCCACTATGCTCCACTATGCTCCACTATGCTCCACTATGCTCCACAATGCTCCACTATGCTCCCGAATACTTGCTCCACTATGCTCCACTATGCTCCACTATGCTCCACTATGCTCCACTATGCTCCACTATGCTCCCGAATACTTGCTCCACTATGCTCCACTATGCTCCACTATGCTCCACTATGCTCCCGAATACTTGCTCCACTATGCTCCACTATGCTCCACTATGCTCCACTATGCTCCACTATGCTCCAATATGCTCCACTATGCTCCCGAATACTTGCTCCACTATGCTCCACTATGCTCCACTATGCTCCACTATGCTCCACTATGCTCCACTATGCTCCACTATGCTCCACTATGCTCCATTATGCTCCCGATTACTTGCTCCACTATGCTCCCGAATACATGTGGAAAGTGGTGGTGGGGGTCCTGCTGCTCAGCGCACTTTGTAACACAGCCTACACGCTAGCAGAGCAACACAAGAATACCTGGTAGTATGTACGGTGTACTCAAACGCACACTAGCAGATGGGTGCAAAAAATGTATCCCATCCATGATCGGAATTGACCGTATTGCGCGACCAATCCTCTCAATGTCCTTATCTTTCCTTTTCCTTTTTCATGATCTGGACTCCTCTTTGATTTTCTCTTTTCTCTCTAGATATTCTCTTGTACCTTCTTGCCACTACTCACTGATGTGGCGCTGTGTATAAATCATAAATTGTACCAAAGGCGTAGTAGCTGATCCGGCCAGTCCGACAAAGCCCGGACCACTTTGTCTTCTTGGAAATAGAAACACTATGCTAAAAGTGCCCAGAATGCAGAATTTTGCATCCCAATTCCAAAATTTTCCCGGGGGACACCCCCGCACCCCCCCCCTCTCTCTCTCTCTCTGGCCGGACCACCTCCAACAGCGGTGCTACGCGCCTGATTATACAGCGGATACGTACTTACCAGTGCCTGCATGAACCGCACTCGTGTTAGCGTAGGCTCGCGCGCAGTGGTCAGCCACGTCCTCCACATCACCAGCTTGAACTGAGTCCAGCGGCTCTCTCCGTGCAGTTTCCTACGAGAAGAGATGGCATGGCATGCAATTGCATTTGTTCTGCTGAAGCCTAAAACCAGCATCGGTTGATAATGCATCCGATTGCATAATAGCATGTGGGTTTGACATGGAATTTGAAAATACAGATCGACGCACTGTGAACATCAAAATCAGTTCACTGCGATACAAATAGGTTGAGTCAGAAAAGTGTGTCGCGACTTGCGCAATATTCATCCTGACTTTGTACATGTAGGCAGGTTGTGTAAAGCATGCTGTAACAGAACAGACACAACAGGGTGTGCGCATTTATACATGTACATGATTGTGCATATCTGTATGTGTGCCCATTTGAGTGTGTGTGTGTGTGTGTGTGTGTGTGCACGTGTGTGTATGTGTGAATGTGTGTGTGTGTGTGTGTGTGTGTGCATGCGTGTCTGTGTCAGCATGTGTGTGTGTGTCTTCCTAGAGATGACATCAAGTTATCCGTGCGTCTGCCCAGCACTCACCTTGCAGCTCGAATGTCGACATCGACGTCCCGTGATTTCTTCTTCGCAAAGTCGACCTGCTCCTTTTCCTGTTCACGGCGATCGTACTCATCCGTAAACACCTGAGTAGAAAATCATGAATGGAAGCATGATCAGTGCCTCGATCACTTCATTCACTACCATCATTAGCAATACAGGTAATGACGTGAATCTGTATCATGAATCCTCGTTACACTCGCTATTACTAGTATATCATTATTTGTTCGTGTGTACGTCATGCTGACGTCTTGCTGCACGCATCGCATGCGCAGTTTTGCAGCTCTCAGGCCAGAGCATGCGCAGCGAGCCAGTGGCTACATTGTTGCTACATTTTTCTCCTTTTGCTCTCACTTGTCTCAACTAATGGTTTTTTGGTGACTTCGATTTCAAGTCACCTTTCAAGTAAACAAGTGCAATGTTGTTCCGAGAACCAGACCACCTCCAAATTTGAGTGAGCAATACTTATTTGTGCGTGGCTACAAGCCCTCCCACTTAACAGTCCAAAGTTGCGCACAGGTACAGTCAAACCTGTCAAGGTGACCACTCTGATAAGTCGACCACCTGTCCCAGATGACCATTGCAACTAGGACCAAGAGAGGTTATTTTCAAGTCAAATTGCCCAAGTTCAGAAGACAGCCTGTACACGAGAACACCATTTTCAAGGTCCCTTGAGTGGTTGCCTTAGACAGGTGGTTGCCTTAGACAGGTGGTTGCCTTAGACAGGTGGTTGCCTTAGACAGGTGGTTGCCTTAGACAGGTGGTTGCCTTAGACAGGTGGTTGCCTTTGACAGGTTTCACTGTGTGTGTGCATGAGTAATGACCAATTGCACAAGTGCAGGCCAGGGTGCACTGGAGTGGAAACTGTTCCGCTGTTCTGAAAGCCCAGAATCATCTCTTTCTCTCTCTCCGAAAGATGGGTCAAGAACACCTTTGTCCCCCGTACATGCGGACATACACATACACACACAGTTTGATCCTGCTGCCAAGTTTGGCTACACAGTCCCCGAAGGGACAGGTCAAATGGTACTAGTCACCCTGCTGCATCGGTGGCGTGTCCGGCCGCAAGTCGAGCGGAAGGACCGGTGACAGGCGGAGCACTCCGCACATACACACATTTACACACACAAACACACGTACACACACAAACACACGTACACACACAAACACACGTGGACACGCGTACAGAGTGTTAGGCCAGGACATGATTCTGATCATATCATGTGCGCTTACTGACTACGGACAGTGAATACATTGCCAAGATAACCGGGTCTCCGAACAGCCAGAACTGTCCATTGCTGAAGTCTACAAGGCAAGGACACCTAGATAAACTGGGAATGCTCTCACATTGTGTGGGAAATACCAACACTCAAACAAGCGGGACAGGCGTCTTACCTTGACACGCTCTCGCGACTCATCTTCTTTCTGCGGCACAATAGCCAGTGTGTAGATGTAATGATCGGCTGGGTTGTAGTTGTCCGGGCATGGGTGCTCCAGACTGGATGGGTCACACACACGTACACGCACACACACACACACACACACACACACACACACACACACACACACACACACCTCAGACCTGCCCATCGCGGAAGCGATGATAGCGAACAGCTATGTTAGACATAGCAACTCGTGCTGGGATTACACCATTCAACAGCTTGCAAGGCTGATGAATTGACCGCCACTATTTTTGGCCTGGTATCCACCACACAGCTTGATTGAAAAATAGGGATTCACTGGCCAGAAAAAGTCACACACACACACCGTGACACACACACACACAGTGGTACGTACTTTATCACACAGCTGACTACAGCGTACGTGAAGTGCTGGCAACTGAAATCCGATCCCTGGAGCGGTGCGCTCACATTGCAAAGACCCAGCATGGGATTGCAACACTACGAAATAGAGACCGCTAGAATCGGTGCTACACTCCAGCACGAAACCCCGGGGTTGGATTCCAGTTGCCACCACCGCTGTCGATGTGCATTCTTGTGTTCTAGCTCTCCACGTCAATCTACATTGAGAGGCCAGTGCGCTTGCAAACAAGCCACTTACAAAGCATGTATCCATGACACCTTGAATAGAATTCCAGTGTTCAAAATGCACTTTGACGTAGCCTGAGCTACCGTGCTGGTCAATGAAATCCAGTCGCGTCACTCACGTATGAGCTGGGCATTGCGCAGCCCTAGATCGGCGAACACTGGGCTGCGAAACGATGCAAGGCGCAAACTTGAGCGACGCGACTGGATTTCATTGAGCACTCACTGTACTTACGCCTTGAAGTACTCCAGTGCCTCCGACCTGGGTCCGTAGTACACTGTCTTGCCTTCTGCCAGTAGCAGCAGCCTGGATACAGGTATAAAGCGAATCAATACACACAAAGCAGTACACGGCAGTAGGCATTGGTCAAATCCTACATCATGCACAAGTGAAACCTTGAAAAATGAAGAAGAAAAGAAGAACGCCGATTAGACAAACTTTTGCTTTAGAAGAACTAGTCTGCATAACTCTATAGAATAGATTACTGTGTATTCACTGGGTGTAAGATACGCATAAGAAGAACTCCCATTATTGCGAACAAATAATTTCAGTCCCTTGGTGTTCGTCCTAAAGAGGTTTTACTATAACACGAACTGTATAAGTAAACGTCACACAGCGTGATATAGGCACTGTTGCTACAATAGGTAATGCTTAATGCACACAAAGCACAGAGCCATTCACACACTGGCAACAGAGAGAGAACCGATACACTTGCTGAGACTCGGAGTTTCACACTAAGGTGATCATTAGCCAACACAAGTTGATGATCACCGGATCCGTGAGGGTGGTGACATTCCTACGGATGTGGAAAACTCAATCTAACTGAGTCTCAAACAAACCTTGACATTTTTTGTAACTGGAATTAAAAATAGAAAAAAATAGATTGACCTGGATGCTAGGAACACCAGAATATAGGGCTGCTCACCTGTTGAACATTGCAAAGACTTCACTGGGAGGCTGATGGATGGTGCAGAGGATGGTACGGCCCTCCCTGGCCATGTCTTGAAGCGAGGAGATAACACTCTGGGCCATGAACGAGTCCAAGCCAGAAGTCGGCTCGTCGACGAAAAGCAACGGTGGGTCCATCAACACCTGATCAGGGTGAACGCCAAAGTGAGAGTACAATCATGTCATTGTCTGCCTCTACATCCTGCTCATGATAACAATATCATAATCTCCATCAACACAGGCTGGCTCATTCTTACTAAAGGTGTCAGTTTCTTGTGTACCTGGTATGTTTGGCACAATGCTCTTAGCTTAAGCCTCCGATTATCCAGGCTTTTCCGGGTGCAGGCTGTTGCGCTTTGGTTGCCCACATTGGCATAGTGAGCAACAGTAAACCACAGCCTAGAATGCGCAGTTGTTCAGGCGTGGGAATAGGGCAGAAAACAGTAGAGGTTTGAACACTGCCCTCTGCTTACTCTCATCAAGAGTACATAACCAAGAGTGTGCAACTCCTATCTAGAGCTGCAATGGGTTCACCCACGGCGGAATTCTTTTATTGCGTCATCCTTTGACTGAAGTATGATCAAGTGCGTATGCTTTCCCGCACATTTTTTGTAAATACGGTGAGAGTTCACCAGGTTCAGGATACATCGATCTATCGTCCGTTGTTCTGCTTCGACTACCGTAGCTGTGATGTACAAATTCTTTGTAATTTGATCTCTGGCTACGCATGATGGCATCAGCGAGCCAAACAGCCGCCAAAGACTGATGTCATAAAAAAATTCCGCCATGGGCTGGGGGATCGTCGAGTTGCACACTCTTGGTTATGTACTCTTGCTCTCATGTAGGTTACTAAGAAACACCAGAAGTAACTCATTGACCGGAGACAGCCAACAGAGCAAAAACGGTGACTATGAGGAATAATAATTGAGTAATCGTGTGTGTGTGTGTGTGTGTGTGAGAGAGAGAGAGAGAGAGTGTGTGTGTGCGCATGTGTGCATGCGTGCGTGTGTATCAAGTGCATTCACAGGTTATTCATGCTTCTCTTGCGACAGGCATACAAGGTACATGGTGTGTGTGTGTGTGTGTGTGTGTGTGTGTGTGTGTGTGTGTGTGTGTGTGTGTGTGTGTGTGTATGTGTGTGTGTGTGTGCATGCGCATACGTGTACGTATATACGCAGGACTATCAAATGATACAGATCGCACACTCCAAAATGACATCACTCTTAATTCTCGATGAGTCGCCTCACCTCCGATGCGAATGACAGGCGCTTCAGCTCTCCACCAGAAATACCCCGAACACCGGTAGGAGATCCGATCTTATTGTTCCTGCACTTCTGCAACCCCAACTGCAACAATAATCAAACACAAGAGAAAATTTAAGTAAGCGGCGAGGCGTCAACAATTTGAGGATAGCGATCAACAGGACCAACTGAATCGACATTCCATAACGACTGTATTGTAGGTGTATGTGGTAGAACGTCATGTGATGGACAATGAGAGAAATGTGACTACAATATGGGAGAAATTGGTGGACGATAAAGATGAAGAAGCACTTTGAACTGGTTTTCGTACAACTCTCGTCAGGAAGAAACGTACTGGAGAACACCAATGTGACAAGGGTTTGACTGTTTTATCATGCATGGGCGGCACATTCTCTCAAAGGCACGATTTGGCTTGATTTTTTCACAAACCTACTCGGAGAAGCCCCCCCCCCCCCCCTCCACTACACCCTTCCACTCAAAGCCAGACAAATAGCTTCCGACACTAGTGTTGTATTGCACCAGCAGAGCAATCGCGTATACGGGTTAAACTGATAAACTGTTGGATTGCTGGGACTGCTACCGGTTTGGTTTTGATCTCAAGTATCTACACTCATATCAACTACTGTCCTTGTGGAGGATCCCATTCTGTAGCTGGTTGATGATAGGGCATGGATCTTAACCACTATCTTGACGAGCACCCCCCCCCCCACACACACACACACACAAAGTCCTTGCACAACTTTTGACATTAAAATGTCAAACAAAACCCAGGACAGGAAACTCCAATTTTTCATTTCCGAGCCTCGGACGTCTTGCGGTGCTCGGAGTGCACGGATAAACTATGGTATGATATAGTCGGTACCTCTGTGATGACATCTTCCACACGCTGCATTCGCTCTTCTGGCGACAGCCGCTTGTCCATTCTCAACAGTGCCTGAGTGCACAGAACAGAAAGAGAAAGGCATCTTACGTCAGCCTCCACGCCAGCGTTGGCTGGGGTCTCTAGTGGTTATTTCCGTTTTTATTACATTTAGCCACAGTGAGATCAGGTTACATCAGAGTTGCGTGCTTCGCATATATCCAATTACAGGTTCATGGGCCTATCTGGGCTGAAATACGGTACAAAATCTATTCAAAAACGTGTTCAAGTGCATTCTATCTTAGCCTTTTGAAAAGGTACAGATCATACAAGTACTTCAGAACACAACCGTTCCAACCGTTTCTGTTGGTGGGATGAGATCGAGCATTATCAAAGGAAGAGATGGTTTACAAGTACAATCGACTCCACTTATAACGAACTCACATATAGCAACTTTTTGTTATATAGTGAACCATTGTCCATGTCCCAGTTCAAACCCACAGTGTAAGTTCATTTCTGTTATAACGAACTTCGGCTGAAAAAGAACTAATTCTCCTGCACAATGGAGTTCGTTATATCAGGAGTCGACTGTATGTTCATTCTACATAGGCGTACCTGGAATTTCAGGTGTTCAAAGACGGTCAGAGTGGCGAAGGCCAGGTCCTGCTGCTGTACATATGCTGAGATACGCTTGATATCGTGCGGTGTGACCAGCTGACCGTTGATGTTCAGAACGCCTGCAGAACATAGCAACAGTTGCAGAAAATCATTCAAATTCACGGGTCGCTTGAGACTTGGCTAGAGGCCACGTTTTCCACATCCATAGGAACACCACCACCCTCGATGATCAAGGCGCAGATGCAGCTCCTAAAGCGGTGGGAGGTGAGTAGATCAGACCCACCACAAAGTGAAGTGGTCAAAGGCCGAAAACCCCATTCACTGTGTCCATGATTCCACCAATTGCAAGTCTTCCACTAAAACGTATACACCTAACTCCAACTCCATTGACTAGCTCTGGAAGAGAAAAAGAGCTGTGAAGTAGGTCTCTCAACTTCTCAACTGAATTTTCTTCCCATGATAGCAACGTGGAAGTTGTATGGGTCGAGCAGGAGGCTAGTGTTGTTGGGTGGAATTTCTCCCTTCTTCTCATGAAAGAAAGGAAGTTGACAAAGACTGGCATTTACTTATGTATAATATCATACCATACAAGAGCAGTAGAGAAACCTAGATTGAATACTTGTGTAGCATATCTACCCTCAAATCCGTTGATCCCCGAGCTGCAGAGTGCTCAACTTTTGGCGTCAGAGACAGAGCTAAGTACATAGCAGACTCAGCGGAGGACGTTCAGTTGTCTGATGATTGCCTAACGGCATGAAACTCAGAGTTACAACCAACCTGAACATCCTCCGCTGAGTCTGCTATGCATATCTACCCTCCATAATTATGGTACCGTAAAACCAGAAAGTCTAACGCTTTAACGACCAATTTTTTCGTTATTTGAAGAAACGTTATCGCGAACCCGGTTTGAGGTGTCTGTGTAAAGATGCACATACAGATGGGTGGCCAGGTAGCCACCGTTAAAAACTTTCTTCACGTTAACTTTTTGGTCGTTAAACTTTCCGGTTTTACAGTAAACTAATCGAGTAGTTACATGTAATGGCAGTGGGATATTTGTACGGGTGCTGACGTTGCTCATGAGCTGTAGATCCAGGATACCAGCATGGACAATAGCACAACTTACCCTCCAGGGACATGTTGCTACCTGAGCGTCCACAGAGAGCATTGAGCAGTGTTGTCTTGCCTGCACCGCTGCCACAGTCAAACAACACAGACACAAAAGCATCCATGAGACCACGCTGGACTCGTACGAAATGCGTAGTATGCGAGAACAGCTGGAATGGCCAAACAGTCTCCACGCCACGTACACATAAAACAGTCTCCACGCCATGTACACATTCTCAGCGCCATTCAATCATCACCATGACCACCTGCTTGGCCCCAATCAGAACTGTTGAAGATATTGAAGTGCAGGACACGGTGAGCGACACAACGTAACTTACTATCACATGTCTTAAAGTACAGTCCTGCCGGGCGTCGAAGAACTGGAGGTCAGTGCTCTAGCCTAGCCTGTTCATATTTTTATCGAACACAGCAGTTTCGTTCTTATCCAATGGTACAGTCTTGCATGTACATTTATGCAGAGTTATACGTCGTCTGAGTGTACATTATAGTGTATATTACGGTTTCCGTTCTTATCTGCAAAAATCCAGCCTGCACCGTTCCGAAATTGGTGAAATTCTAGCCTGGCCGTTCTTCGGCGCCCGGCAGTACTGTATCTACAACTATGTGTGGAAGACATTAAAACGTTGGGGGGGGGGGGGTACCACATTTTTAAGGTCCTCTGAGCGGTCGCCGTGAACAGGTTTCACTGTACTTGTAGTTGTAGACAAGTAATGTGCAGCTTGATCCACAGAGGGTGGTGGTGTTGCTACGGACACGGAAAATTCGGCCTCCAGCCAAGTCTCACGCCAAACGTGAAAAATGTCCATAGAGAGTGAAGTATACCAGCCAAATGTAATGTTTCCACTGCATCTCTGCTGCATTCCACTCCGCTATCTTCACGTGGCTAGGGCACCCTGTAAGCAGACCATGGCATAGGTCTATGCCTGTGTGTGTGTGGGGACTGCCCTAGTAAAAATATGAATAAAATAATAATCTCCTCTCACCTGGCTCCCATCACGGCCACCAGCCATCCTGGACGCACCGAGCCGCTCACTGTGCAAGAAAAGGATGAAAAGGAAACATCGTCATGTGTTGCTTGTTGTGCAGTTGATGTGTTTGTCAGTTTTACGGACGAACATTACAGACCGGAGAACGTATGCGGATCACCCAAACTTCAAAATGATCGTGTATCATAACAAGATTCGAGATTTAGGTATTTTCCCTTTCTTTTACCTGACAATGCATTGAATTATTTAAATCAAATTAGAAAAGGCACTAACTGTTACCTTTCTTCAATATAGGCTTTGGTTCTGGTGCCGGCTCCCCTCTCAATTTGCTCAGACATCCTCGCTCGAACACAAGATCAACCTTCAGATTGTGCCAGCTCAGCGTAACGTTGCCCCGAAGCGACTGCTGCCGTTCCAGTTCGTTCGTCTGCAGCTCCGAGTATTGGCGCGATGTCGTTTGCAGAGCACCAGCCGTTTCGCCAGGTGCGTCGTGAACGCTATACGCTTTCTCCTCATCATCCAAGTTACCGTCAGCCGCTACAGAAACGTGCGGATCCCTGAACCCCGTCTCAACGGTTTCCTGGGTCTTGAGGCCTGCTTCCACGTCGGTGCTTGACATACTGATCTCTTCGACGTACATGCAGCGAGTGCGCGGCTACCTCATGGACCACAAATACCCAACAGGTATCACCGGTCGGTGTAGTGACTGACGATCTGAACGACACGTAGGAAGACGATTGTTTATCACCCGCAGTTGGTGTTTTGCAGGTTAGGTGGCTCGTATATTATTACTCGATTATGGATATGAGTTTGAATGAAAACTACTAACATACATGTAGCGGGAAGTATTCAGAGAGTCAGACACAGAGACAGAGGTGCAGAACACATGCACGACGTGCGAACCATGCGAACTGCAGTTGCGTGCTGATGCCAGTGAGGGTTTTTATGGGGGTTTTTCGTCTTGCATGCATGCACATGCAGCTGATCCAGGTCGCCGCCTCCGATCGCGCAACACTCGGCAGTGCATCAGCTTCAGAGACCGTTTCGCAATCATGCGAAAACTGGACTTCGTGCTGTAGCGTATTACTATTAGTGTAGTGTTGCCTGTTGGTGTACGCAGATGTGTCCACCATCCAGATCCTGGCAGTAGATCCACAGACAGTGCAGAGTGGGTACGGGTAGAGAACTAGTCTATCTGGGACGCGTGTCGACAGATGGAGGATGTCAAAATGAAAGCCTCATTCAGTCATTGGCTGAGTTCCAGTGCAGTGTTTGTTCATGTTGGCCATGCATGCGCCAACGACATGCACGTCAGCGACGTTTTTCACGTGGCAGCCAACTGCATGCATTGCAAGCACATAATAAAAAATGACATTGGGCCGGGTCTATCTAGACTAGAGTCTATCATTCTACTTGTACATGTAAGTAGTTGTAGTCTGCATAACCATGATAACGATACCAGGATACACTCATACAGACGTTAGTGATTTCGGTAAGCCAACCAACTGAAAATAGTACCTCCCTCTGGCATACATGTAGGTCCTCATCTTCATATTTCTCTCTGATTGATAAATTCGTTCTAACTTGACTTGTAATGACCGGTACATGTACTTCCTATTGACTGTTTTTTTCATTTTCTCAAGTGCAGCTTTATCGAGCCACACTTTTTTTTCTATCGCCATCATAATAATTATTGGACATCAATGCCCGTTTGGTTTGCGATGTAAAAATAAAACTTCAAACTAGCTACCCGTCCTATCCCACGTGAAAGACTTGAAGTGTTCTTTGGTCGTGTGTGAGAGTAGAGAGTAACACTCAGTTACCATGGTTACTTGAGGATACATACATGTAAAGTCAAACCTCTTTTGGATGAACACCGACTCCGAGGGACCGGTGGTATTTGTTTGTACATGTAATAACAGGAGTTCTTCTTTTTTTCTGAAACTTTATTCATTTTTATTAGGACGAAACAGTTCTGTCCGCAGATTGAGTTCATTTTTATTCATAATTATGGTGGTAAACACGCACCTGGCAATATGGCGGTAAATACACGCCGGCCAGTAATTAAACAACAGGAAGAAAGGAGATAAATGCCAATGGCTGTAAATACACTGCAGTTCTTCTTATCCCTATCTTACACCCAGTGAATACACAGCCCTGACTCTTGAGTAATGTGGATTGGTTGTGTTTTTACCTTTTATCAAATATTTTTTATGCCATCATGTCTTCGACTATAATTTCTATGCACACGTACTAAAACTTACTTTCTCTCAGTATGAGGTAAGTTGTTGGTTGGTAGGAACCGCAGGGAATTTGCAGTTGGAGCCCCCCCCCCCCCCCCGCGTCGTGGTCGTGGACGCTTCCAGAAGCCACTGCTCGATTGCATGCATGACAGCTGTCACTGACATTTCGCAGTTGGACAACCCGATTTCCCCTACGATACGAATCTGTCAAATACTCCCTCATGAAAACTATGCATGACTCAACGGTTATCATTGTTATTCAAAGCCCCACATTTTAAAAGTGAATAATAGCAACAAGGCACAAGAGAAGAGCTAGAGAGAAAAGGGAAACCAAGGAGGAGTCAAGGTGGAAAAGGAAAAGGAAAGATAAGAACATTGAAAGGATCGGTCACGCAATACGGCTAATTCCCATCGTGGATAGGATACTAGTAATAATTATTATTCAATTGACGTCCCTGGGCAAGAACTTGGGGTACATGTACTATGATGTAGATCGGTATCATAAATTAATATTGATGCAGCCAGCCTACAAATCATGCAAGCACAATCAGTCATGTTATCATTGTCATGCTAGCTGGGGGCAATCGTGAAGCTTGGAGACTTAGCCTACATACACTATCTGTACACCGGTACGGAAGAGCTCTGTGGAACCTAGCTAACTGTGACTTGGTTTATCCGAGTGCATGATTGTGGGCCTTTTCAGTCTTGACTCTTCGGCATCTCTCTCTGCTGGGTGCGAAAGTCGTGATAGTCTCCTTGGCCTACCGCAGTACTGCAATTCGTCACTATCAGGTTTTGCTCCTGGTGCCTGATTCTACAGAAGGCTTCCTCGTTTTTCATTCCGTCCAACCACCCCAGTCACGGTGGCACCACATGCGCTCTCAGGCCGACCTTGTTCACCACACCACCAACACGACTCCAACAAGTCCAAGTTAGTTGTAGTACATGTGTATTAGGGAGGTAATGAGACTTTTTATACAATGTACACTGAAACCTGTGTAAGCCGACCTCTCAAAGGACCTTCAAAATGTGGTCTCCGTGTACAGGTGGTCTCCTTATCCAGGGTCGTTTGACTAGAAATAGCATCCCTTGGTCCTGGTTACAGTGGTCTTCTGGGGCAGGTGGTCGCCTTATCCGAGTGGTCGCCTTGACATGTTTACTGTACTTCGAAGTACATGTACTTCGTAGTAGCTATGCCCTTCATACAGATCTGCATAATTATGTGAAGTTTGCGAGAATAGTCACTCAGAATACTGAATAGTTAGGACTTATTAATACGGACTTTTATGTAGCTATAGTATGCTATACTAATCATTCAGATCTTTTAGATTGCCTTAACCAAGTGCTAAAGCAATAAATACATTACAGGAATTAGTGCAACATCACAAAGGAATGGCTAGGCTTGTATATGTACGTGTAATGTTTTTACGAGCATGGTAATTTGTACGACGGGCAAAAATCACAGCACACTGGAATTACACCCTGAGTATTGGGGTGACGGATTAGACTTTAGGCTCCAGCACTCCTCGCGCACACACACACACACACACACACACACACACACACACACACACACACACACACACACACACACACACACACACACACACACACACACACACACACACACACACACACACACACACACACACACACACACACACACACACACACACACACACACACACACACACACACACACACACACACACACACACACACACACACACACACACACACACACACACACACACACACACACACACACACACACACACACACACACACACACACACACACACACACACACACACACACACACACACACACACACACACACACACACACACACACACACACACACACACACACACACACACACACACACACACACACACACACACACACACACACACACACACACACACACACACACACACACACACACACACACACACACACACACACACACACACACACACACACACACACACACACACACACACACACACACACACACACACACACACACACACACACACACACACACACACACACACACACACACACACACACACACACACACACACACACACTCACACACACACACACATGATACACCTACAAAAACACCATCAGGCATGCTGTGCGACCTTAGCACACGGCCACCGGTATATAGCTATGACAAGACGGTGCACACAACACTCACCAGGCTATTAACAGGCTATTATGCAGGGCGTCGTGAGGGGGCACACTGACGGGCTAGCATTTCACACCACCATAGGCTAGTACTGTAAGTCAACAAATATTCGGCGCATATTTATTTTCGGCTATTTTCAGCCTGGTCGTGCTTGGGCGAAAATTTGTTTCGCAAGGTTCATTGCGACAGTGTATGCAGGCTGCAGCAGCACGGGCCGAAAATTTGATGCGGCCAAAATGGGTTTTTTGCCCTGGGAGGCCGAAATTTGAATGGACCTAAAATTTGTAAACTTACAGTATGTAGTACTGTAAAGCGTGAAATTTTCGCGGCATTTTTAGTTCGCGTTTTCAGAATTCGGACAGGTTTGCGAGGTTTTAATTTTGCGATTGCAGAATGGCATTCTTGCTAAACCTGTGGCATTCTTGCTAAACCTTTCATGGATCTCCTTTTCGCGCTGTCTAAATTTCGCGATTTCCATGCGGTCGCGAATTTCGCAGAAATTAGACCATCGCAATAACTTCACGGTTTACAGTATCCAGTGGTGCTGAGTCTCGAAGCTCTTTGAAATACGCATGCAAGTTCAAACATTGAAGGTGGAAAGAAAATCGCCTTTAGTTGGCAGGGCCGCTCTTTGACCCTTGTGCCCCCCAGTACCACATGCATGCCGGGGGTCTACGTCCAAAGAATAATGGTAACTTGTGTAGTTCTGGATCAGCTCCTGCCACACAGCAGTCGACATGTAGAGTAAAACCTGTCAAGGCGACCACCTGTTCCAAAAGACCATTGAAACCAGGACCAAGGGATGCTATTTCCAGTCAAATGACCCTGGATAAGGCGACCACCTGTTCCAAAAGACCATTGAAACCAGGACCAAGGGATGCTATTTCCAGTCAAATGACCCTGGATAAGGCGACCACCTGTTCCAAAAGACCATTGAAACCAGGACCAAGGGATGCTATTTCCACAATTTTCCAGTCAAATGACCCTGGATAAGGAGACCATCTGGTAACAGAGACCAGGTTTTGAAGGTCCCGTGAGCGGTCGTCTTAGACAGTTTCACTGTAGTTACAGAGGGCACAACTTTAGCAGTGCCTGTGATATCATACCATACAAAACACCTCAAATACTGACGTTGAAAGACATGTACGACATCTATTCAACAATACTTCGAAGTAGCAGCTTTTTAAAACACAATAATTATTTTTTATATAGCAAGACAGAATCAACGTGAGTCTCCTGAAACACAGCTATGTTCACAAGCATCTGGGCTCAGACCTTCTATGGGGTTTATTGTGAAGACCACGCATGGGTGACATTACAATCTGACCTGTATAGGAAATATTCAAGTTTGACGTAGGAAGCGACAAAAAGAGAAAATGAACAATCCAAAATTTGCACATCACACACTTTTACATACAGCACAGACGTTGTCAAGGGCAGGCAGGAGTATCTCACGCAGCGTACTTCTTCCTGTCTCACACTTCAAAGTATATTGCGATTTCTGGTCACTCATGAAGAGTATGTCTTGTTGAAGCCGTCAAACAGCGGGATTTTCCGGCTGAGAGCATGAAGTTGAAAATCCTAGGAACAACAACACCAGTTGAGAACAGCAAATACACTTGGTTCAGCTATCTGCACCAGGTCGGATCAGGAACAAGAGTGGATAGTCTCAAATAACAAGCATCTGAAAAATCGATTCTGGGTTTCAATAATATTTTTGTTACAAGATACACAGTCATACATGTCGAACAAGTAACGTAGTTGCGTGATGTCTGCGGCCTTCATCTTATTCATAGCTATATTATCAAGCATCTGGATGAACATGGTCTCATCAAAGTCGTAGGCATGAGAGTGTCGCATTACCAAGTTGAGCAAAATGCCTCATACCGGGTGCATATCGTGTACAGCCTGCCTCCACTGGTCTATCACTGCGTAAGGCGGAGAGTCTAGTGCTGCATTGAGCCAAATCATGTGGCTTCATACCACGTGACCATCCGTCCAGCCTGCCTGGCCCCACTGGTCTATCAGTGCGTAAGAGAGTCTGACACTGACTGCATGCCTTTCAGGTTTATTGCGGTGCTTACCTTGTCTGGAGAGGAAATGCTGGCAGGATCTCGGAAATGAATGGTACCGTGTTCGGCTCTGTAATGGGGAAAGACACGACAGGCAATGGTGTGGCCATGGGGCACACTGATAGCACTATAATCACGATCCCCTGTGCCTGGTCACCTTCCGACATGCTATCAATAATGCAACATATCTTTCTCAGTGAACTGTGTTCTAGTATCAAAGAAAGCTAAGTTGATCCTGTCCCTTAGCCTCTGTGGGTGGATTTCTGGGTTTTCAACTCACTCGTGTTTGAAGTGGTTTTCTGGCCACTGTAGCCCCAACATCTTCCCAGTTGCTCTTTTTCTTCTCCTTTTCACTTTCTCTTTTTTCGAGCACACACACATGACAAGCTCCAGCATGCACTACTGCCTGTGGTTACCATCGGTTACTGCCAGGTTGCCGCCAGGGAGAATGAAAGAAGCTCCAGGAGAATAAGACAGAGAAGGACACGTGCCGAGTCATCGGTATCTTTGGGAGTACTCATACCCTCACATCACAAATCATGTTTCCCTTGAACCAGCAGTGGCAAAGTAGCTGACCCTCCTGGGAAGATGAGATGTGTCAACCCCAACACCTGCAGCATACATTATTCTGAGTCAGACTGACTTGGCTCTAGGAGCCTCCGATACATCGTGCAGCAGATGTTACTAATTGAACTTTGCACCAAACCAGTAGTTATTGTGTAGTCCTGACAACCACATATGCATTTTGAATACAACCCTCCCAATTTTGAATCCCATTCACCACCTGATGTAACGCTATGTCGTGTTCTCGGACTAGACCCATGCAACTCTGTTAGCCACAGACTATATGCAAGTTTTATTATTATTTATTATTATTATATGCAAGTTTTGGAGTCTAGAATTAGGGCCGTGCTTCTTCCAAACGCCCAGCTAGTAGTACTTAGGGAAGACTTACTTCTGAACAGGACTCTTGCAGTGTATGAAGCTGACTGGCTGGTACTCGACCTTGGTGAACGGTTTTAACCTGTGCAAAGCAAACCAAACGTAACAAGCAATGACCTCACAAGCGCTGCGCCTGCTTTGCTACAAGTCATAGTACGTGTATACCAAACCACGGCACAATTAACTGTTCATTACATGGGCAAATTGTTGGACCTTGTCTGATACGTACCGAATATCCCCGATTATAAGTCGCACCACCACTTTTAGGTCTGAGCAATATGGTTTCAATACGTAGGTTGTCACACTCGATTTTAACTCACATCACCCTCCTTGCCCTTCATGTTTAGCATAAACAGGTGCGACTTGTATTCGGGGAGATAGGGTAACATTAGGATAAATGATTGAAAGTATCGCCATGTACAGTGTGTTACTATACTAACTTTGGATCGTGCATTCGTTTTCTTCGCTCAGATAGCACTTGTGCAGCACTGCAGAGAGAGAGGAACAAAACACATCACATGAGCAGGTGTGCACTCGCAAGCAGTAGACCACAACCAGCAATGCATCATTCAACAATCGCAGTTGAGGGGCGGCGTCGGACACGCTACGGTCACTATGGTATTGACCGTACCACTCTTCGCCCCAGCTAACCCGTGATCCAATCAAAAGCACTGATGTCACATTGGACTCTGAATTTTCGAAAATTTTCAGCGGAGCCACCCCGTCTCAACAAGTGAATTGTACCTCAGGTGGCTGAACGCACCACCCTAAATAACCTTCCGACGCCCCTGCAGTTTTGCCTGCATTACAGTGAGACCTCTCCTATCCACTCTCTATAATTATAGTATCGTTGATGCAGTACATCAGCAAACCAGTGAAAACACAAAACAGCTATTCACTTCCCTCAATTTCATTAAGAACAAGTGCATGATGTTGGGGCTACAGTAAGGTGATTCTGATCCGTTCAAACCCTAACTCACTTAGTTTCCCTGGCGTTCTGATAGTCCGATGTGCTGTGGACGGAGCGATGCGCTGGTCGTTTGCGCTGAGCTTTCACCAGATCGGGTGGAAGGAAAGGTCCCTGTGGATGGAAATGAGAAAGAGAGACTACCTGTCACATCCATCATGAGCTACCACTGGCCTAACATCTCATCGACTATTGTCTTGAGGCATGCCGATATATCTCGTCAGCATAAATTGAAAACTTGGAATGGTAAAAAAGCAATTTGAATCCTATATCAGCCACACTTCAAGCTGGGGCATGCCTGCAGGTGTCGCATACCAATGCACATTTGCGTTCATGCTCTCTAGATTCCATGAATTTCTCTTATCACAAAGAGAAGACACAGAGGACCGCACCCAACGGATTTGTGGCAGTCATTCAAAGTCATGATACTGTATGCCAACTGAAAGAGCCGCAAGGGATCTACGTATGCACAGTACCAGGAAGAAATCTACGCCGGGAATGACTCTCTTACAGGACAGCTCTCAAGCACCAACACCTCCATACAGTAATATCGAGCAGTAAAGAACGAGGGGGGGGGGGGGCGTCTCCGCTTAACACTAGTGATGTGGCCAGTTTGAGCAGAGCCTCAATCTTTTCCTGTACTGCTACAAGTGCACTGTCCATGCAGTGTTACATGAAACCACTTTTCTAATCAGTCTTTACTTCCAGTCTGGTATTTTTCCTAATGGTTACTTCCTAGCCTGGATGTCCTTCTGCAGCCTGTTTTTCGGCACCCATTGTTAATGCACCTTTCTCAACTAGTCTTTTTATAAGACTTAGTATCATGGTTCTGCTGAGCTCTACCCTCAGGGAGCACTGCCCGAGTCACTAGTTTATAGTTCGGACCAGTGAACAGTCTCTCCACGCATCAGAGTTCACAGTCATACCTGTAAACTGCCTTGGATGGGCGGCAGTACTGGAACATTTGACTTCCAATCTGCACGGCGATCTCGCACTGTGGCAAGCCGTCCGGTCCACTTCATGCCGCTGGCAGTGGGATCTGTCATCCCGCTTGTCTCTGCCGGTAGCTTGGCATTGACGGTGAAATAGTGCTGCTCCATGCGCTCGTGCCATACTTCCGATGGTTTTAGATGACGTGACCTGGCATGCATCGTGTCATCGATGGCTCGGTTCCTTCACATAAAACAATTACAGAACGGAAAGCAGAGCTTAAACGCATGTATACAATGCATAAACAAAGCTGTGGAGGACACGCCTAAAGACTGTCTCTAGCGAGTGCTGTACTCTGTATGTATGTGTACGTGTGGGAGGGGTGGGGGGGGGGGAGGGGGGGGGGCTGTAGACTTTCCAAGACACTCCTCAATGAACCAAACTGCTGTTCATATCACCAGTAGCAGCCTTCTTCTATACTGCACACATGACATGTACACTGGGTCAAATGCATGGTGATGTCACTGTGCCAAAGGTATGATGTCATTGGCTCGCTCATGGTACACAACACATCATGATCATCAGCAACTTATAAACTCAATTTCTTCTGCTGTGTACAGATAAAGGTAGCCCATAGGGTAATGTGCCCGTAGGGGCAGGAGACGCACGAGACCTCCTGTTTCAATGATCTCGACATGGTGAGGCTGGTGCTAATCTCCTCTTCCTCTTCCCCTTGCATCCCCAACCGAAGTCAGGTACCCAATCCCAAATGGGTTGCATGGGGTGGAAAACAACTTCCCGCAAACTGGGACTCGAGAACGCCAGCTTTTAACATGAAATACGTACCTTTCTGTGCAGTTGAAGCTGTTGTACACGCCACGAGTCTGCAGCAAACACCCACCCAACATAGAGAGTATTCTTATCCTGGTGAGACGGACGGCAGAAGTCATCTTCAGTGACAATGTTCCTTCTTCAGGGGTGAAAGGATTCGAGTTACCCGTTTTCCTGTTCCTATATCACTCCCATCTCTCCAAATTTTGTTAAGTCATTACAGAACAGTGCCATGGACATCAGAAAGAAAACGTATGATATAATCATCAGGTGGAAAGAGTTGAGAACGACAGTTGTGCTCGATGAAATCCGACCCAAAGTTTGACTTTGACGCTCTCAACTTGCATGGCTCGTGCCGCCCTACAAGTGGTACGAATGTGGCTACACATACGCATGTACAAATACAGCCATGCAATCGGAACTGTAATAGGGCGCCAGTTTTGCACTTGGGGCCTAACTGTATAAGCAATGCCACGCAAGCAGGCATGTGTCACCACATCATGTACTTACTGATACTGTGCTGGCCATGTGATGATGTTGCTCGGCAATGCGGGTGATTTCATCCTGTACACACACACACACACACACACACACACACACACACACACACACACACCTCAGACCTCAGACCTCAGACATGCCCATCGCGGAAGCGATGATAGCGAACAGCTATGTTAGACATAGCAACTTGTGCTGGAATTACACCATTCAACAGCTTGCAAGGCTGATGAATTGACCGCCACTATTTTTAGCCTGGTATCCACCACACAGCTGTTTGAAGTGACTTTTTCTGGCCAGTGAATCCCTATTTTTCATTTTTCCATTTTTTCTTTTTTTTCTTTTTTTTTCTTCTTCTACACACACACCACACCACATACTCCGGCATACACTGGCTGTTGGTAACCACCCAGGAGAATGAAAGAAAAGTCAGGAAGAGTCTGAGAAAGAGAAGAAAGACGTGTGTGACCATAATCGTCGGGAATCGAACCCACAACCTATCGATTGGAAATCGCTGCACATACCACTGCACCATATGGCACACACACACACACACACATACACACACACACACACACACACACACACACACACACACACACACACACACATACACGTTTACACAACACCAGTTCAAAAAAATCGAAACAATAGAGCCACGCCCCGGGCATACACTTACTCCCAGCATGCAGGAAGCTGCAAGGTTTGTTCAAAACGGCAAAACAGACTCAGACACCATGGCAACAACTGGAACTACTGCCCGTGTACATACATACCATTTCTGCGTTGTTTTGCTCCCTCTGTGCAGCTACTAATGCCCTCTGCCTCTCCGTGAGTAGCTCTTTCCTGTCAATTGGAAGTAGGGACACCATGAACACACATGTATATATGTTGGACTCAGTAGAGCGTCCAGCCCCTATATGTTGTCCATCCCCTATATAGAGTCCATTGGTCCAAAACCTACTATACACAGTCCAAACTAGGAATCAACTGGAAGTTCAAAGTCTAGATGGACATCACTCCCTTATAAATATAATAATATGAAGTAGTTATCTGCTTTGAAATGCCACACTGACTGCGGTCAACTAGATGAGGACATGTAAGCATCGTAACCATTTTATTGTCTATTTTGACAATTAAAGAAAGGAATACAACAACGACTACGACAACGATGACAAAGAATGAAGATTTCCCAAAGACAGTCTAAACTGAAGGGAGTTGCATATGCTCTACAGTAAGCCGTACCATAATTGATGAATACATAACTGGTGACTGACTCGTAATAAGCCCCATAGTTTTGATAACGCAATAAAGTAATCCAGAGCTTGCAATTCGCGGCATCTCTTGGCTTTTTAAAGCCAGGAATTAGTTGAAACTAACTTCATATGATGCCCAACAGGGACGTAGCACCGGCTGCCTATGAAGTGGTTGTCAGTTATCTAGTCTCCATGTCACTGTAGTCGGTGCTAAATAGCATTGCGTTGCTTTGCGTCAAACTACTTGGAGAAATAACCTGACTCCTGGGCATGTCATGAACCAGGTTTCTGACATGTCACAAGACTGTAGGCATGGAGATGACCAATCGCATTGCACCTAGCAGGGCCTAGATGAGGCGATCAAAGCATGCTACAAGAAGTAGAACTCCATATTTAGTGGAGCGGGCTTTGATTTTCCCATCAAAGCTCGCCCAGGCGGGCTTTGATTTTACGATCAAAGCCCGCTCCACTAGGGCTTTGATTCACTGATCAAGCTCGCTTTTTTTACTCGACTCGGGCTCGAGAAGGCTGGGAGTCGTGATTTCAAGCGCGATAGGAAGATCGAAGTGTGTGTTCATGTCAGAAATCCAATCAAAACAGTCGTGTTCACGTTCTATCAGCCAATCACAGCCCTTCGCGAAGTATTTACAAGTTAGTTCGATATGAGTTTCAAGCGTGGGTGCATGTCAGAAATGCAATCAAAACACTCATACTCGTGCTCGATCAGCCTGCATCACAGCCCTTCGCGCTTCGCGCGGCGGGCTGTGATTAGGCGATCTCACACTCGTACTCTTGCTTGATTCCATACATCCTGCAAACCTGTCCAATGACCTGCATAATAATTTATGTCAAGAGTAAATCGTATTCAGCTAAGGTTGTGCATCTGCGCCTTCATCCATAGAGGGTGGTGGCGTTCCTACGGATGCGGAAACTCGGCCCGCGAACCGTGAATTCTCTAAGGTTGTGACGACTCACCGGAAGATTTCCTCTTTGACCGTCAGTCCTTCCAGAAACCGTTTCCTGGCGTAGAAGTCACTGATGTCCCGCCGCACCACGTAACCTTTATCGGCAGGCACACAGGCAAAAGAAGTACACAGCCTTGTGAACTGGAAAAGTTTGAATAGGCACTAGCATGTTGTTTCCGCATTGTGGAGGATGCGCAGAATTAGCACCTCAATGCCACTGGACACGCAAGAACCGTCCCACACATACCATGCATTTGACAACC